TTGCAGTTGTCTCGCGAACGATTATGCTAAAATCTTCGACGTAAGTCGGTCGTACCATCCTCGCCACGTGGTCAAAAACTTAGCCATAGAAAATTCTTATAATGTTTATTGGACGCAGGCTTATTGGATGGTGGGCGAGAATGGGAAAATACCGGAAACCTGGCCAGACTCGTTCCAGACAAAAATCAACTCCACGAATCCGATGAACTTCGCGTTCATGGACAATAAATACAAAACATTCGTCGCAGTACGTATATACGAGATTCTCGCGAAACCGGCTTCTCTGTTTCATTAGAATATGTTCGGAAGAAAAAAAAAAATGGGCGATTCTCAATATGCATTTCAGAGTTCGCCTCCGCCATTTTCGCCAAAGGGCAGAACTAACGACGTAGATGGGATCCTTTATTGCATCGAAAGGGCAGAGAAGTTCGTTTACGTCGCGCTTATGGACTATTTCCCATTGACTATATACTCGCCGAAAATCAAGTATGTGCTCAGACAACTTTCTCTCAGTGGTTCCATAAAATTAGCTATTCGTCGTTTTGCGGATGACGTCGTTTATCCTTTATTCCAATGAGCAGCCTTGCTCGACGATGAGTTATAATCCGACAGGAAGTTTACACGTGTATCGATTTTTCGAAACGAAGGAATATTTTCTATACCAGAGAATCGTCTGAACGACCTTCTAACTTGACTTATTTACTTTTTCATAAACTTTATTCGATAAGCTAATGACGATTATCTGAATAAACAACTTCAGATTGAAGAATGTTTGCTTCATTATAATTATTGTATGATATAGTTATTGTCGATACATACTGATCAAGGATATAAAACACTTGGCTGTGAGCAATAGTGTATCATAAAGCGAATTACGCATTCAATTAATAAGATGCGACGCATTAATTTGCATCCGATTTGTTCAATAGGTACTGGCCTATCATAGACGACGCGCTGAGAACTGCAGCCGTCGAGCGTAAAGTACATGTACGATTGTTGATATCGTCTTGGAAACACTCGCGTAAATCGGAAGACTATTTCCTGAAATCGCTGGTCGATCTCACTGGGAGTTACTCGGGCGTCGAAATCGAAGTGGTCAGTCTTTCGTTTTATATTCTGTTGCTCGGGAACTTCGTAACGAAACTCTTTACTCGCTATCTTGAAAGTCTAGGACCGTTTTGCGCAGCTTGGAAAGTGGTGGGGGTCGTAGCGAACTCCCTCTACACGGTAAAGCATTGAGA